TTTTTTTACTGCTGAAGTTTGAGAGTTTTAGATTGCCCTTTTTTAGTTGGTTTTTTCTTTTCCTGCTGAAATTTGAGAGTTTTGAAATATATTCTAGATATAATGTCTTTGTCAGATATGTGGTTTGCAAGTATTTTCTACCAAATAAATATTTGATTTGAACAGACGCTTCACTAAAGAAGATATGTGGATGACAAATAAGCACATGAAAAGATGCTCACCATTATTTATTATTAGAGAAATGCAAATTAAACATTGAATGAGATTGTACCACAGAGCTATTAGACTGACTAAAATTAAAAAGATGACCATAGTTAAGTGTTGGCAGTTTTTCAAAAAGTTAAAATAGTCTACCATATGATCCAGCCATTCTATTTTAGGTATTTACCCAAGAGAAAGGAAATATATGTCCATATATTTGTACACAAATGTTCATAGCAGTTTTATTTGTAATAGTCACAAAGTGATACGACCCTATGTCCATCAACAGGTGAATGAATAAACAAACTGTGGTATATTTATACAATGAAATAGTACATAGTAATAAAAAGGAATAAACTTTCAATACATGCAACAGCATGGATGAATCTCAAAATGAGACAGTGAAAGAAACCAGACACAAAAGTTTGCAAGCCCTATGATTCCACTTACATAAAACTCCAAAACTAAGCTATAGTGACAGAAAGCAGACCAGTGGTTGCTTGGAGAGGGGGTGGTGGGATGGGAGGGAGTGTTTACAAAGGGCCATATGCTCACATATATGCCCAGGTGTTGGATACGTTTGCTATCTTGACGGTGATAATGGCTTCATGGGCATACATACATGTCAAAATACCAAACAACACACAAGAAACATGTGCAGTTTATTAAATGTCAGTTATACCTCAATAAATCTGTTAAGAACAGGTAAAACCAAACAACAGAATATAGGCTTTCAGGCTGTGCTTCAGAAAAGAATGCAGTATTACCAGACAAAAACTGCCTTAAAAATCAGTCTTCCTTCTTAAGTATGTTAAGTATATGATATTTCAGCATCTGATCTGAAAACAGCTGACACTATGATTAAAAACATTAAAAAACAAAAACAAAAACAGAACAAAATTTTTTTTTGGTTCATTAACATTATAGCATTGTTGGAAATGAAAGTATATGAATGACAAGAAGTTTTTAATTTTAAGGCTCTTTCTTACTTTTGTCCAGTGATGATGGACATCCATTGTTCCTAGCATCACATGGCCCACTGCACTCATGCCAGAACGGTCTGTAAATATGATTGTACACCCTGATGATAAAACACAAAACCTTTGGTCATGGTCGAGGTGCTTCATTCTTTCTGCATTGTGCCAATAGTGTATAAACTCAGGATTAAATTCAGTAGAAGCTTAAAGGCTAATTTTATGCCACTGCTTTATTCAAAGAACAGATTTAAAAGTTCAGCTATGATAAAGTTACTTGGTTTTTCCATTAAAATTTATAGATGTACATAGCAGCTAGGAGATTTTTTAAAAGAAAATGGGAAATGTTTACCTTTTGCTTTTTTAAGTGTTTCCAAATTCTGCTGTGCTAAGCGGCTTAAACTATGCAGCTGGCTACAGCGGTGGGCGACGCCCCAGCTCCTCTGCCACCTAGGCCAACAGAGCACACAAGCATGTTAGTAAGTGGCACCCCGAAGAAGGAGCAAGCACTCACCACAACTACTGGAGTCCTTGGGAAGCTAATGAGTCTCTTTCTGAAGCAGGCACATCACATGTTTTGATTGATCATATGTTTCTAAGCTAGCTAATTTTTAAAGAAGCAACCACATGGAAAATGAATTGTTTACCAGAGGGCAGAAATATTACTACTATGCTCAGGTATCCAAAGATTTAAAATAAGCAAATACATGATGTTACTATTTAAAAATAAGATGATGAAATGGGAAAACTCTGAAAAAAGTATTTTTCTTTTTCACATTGTTATAATGATGATGGTTTTGTTTTAGATTCAAGTTCCAACTAGGAATTCCAGTTAGGCTTATCAGGTTCTCTTTTCTGTTTTTGAGATAGGGTCTCACTCGGTTGCCCAGGCGGGAGTGCAGTGGTACAGTCATGGCTCACTGCAGCCTTGACCTCCTCTGCTCAAGAGATCCTCCTACCTCAGCCTCACGAGTAGCTGGGACTAAAGGCATGTGCCACCATGGCTGGCTACTTCAAAAATTTTTTTTGTAGAGACAGGGTTTCACCATGTTGCTCAGGCTGGTCTTGAACACCTGGGCTCAAGTGATCCACCAGCCTCGG